AGACCAAGGGTTTACTTTGGTTTAAATTCAGACTTGTGTAAAATCTGTTATCATTATATATTTTTTTTAATGGAGGAAGAAAAAGAAAAAATATCTGCCTTATGCTACGTTTAGGCCGCAATGAGCAGAAGCAGCTGGTTTACCAGCTATGTCAATGGTTGACGGCCATCAAGGCGCAGCAAAAGGTCCTGCAGCGCGTTTTAAGGAGCAGAGCCTCATGAGCATCTGAGGCACTTCAGAATCAGCAGCTGCTGGAGTTTGAAGAATTGAACTGTAGCTGCTGGACGCGCCACATCAACCAATGAGAGAAGCTGATCTGGGAGCTGGCAGGGAGTCAGACGCAGCACTGCTGATGCTGAGCGCTACGATCACTCCTCTGAAACAGTTTATTAACGCCTAAATTAACCTAAAATGTAGAAACCTGCTGGCAGAATATGTTCGATTTTAATTTCCTGGTGCCTGCAGTTTGGATTACGTACGTGAAAAACGCTAACATCTACTTCCAGCCGCCGTGAAAAGTAGCAGAAAACCGAAAAGAGGCGACCGGCCTGAGGCTGCTGTTGAATGGGATTCCCAGTGACAGCGCAGCGCCGGTATGTAGGGGTCTGAGCAGTGAAATAATCTTTGAAGGCAGGATGGTGATCTTGGGTTTACTCTTTGATGGTAAACCCAACGCGCATCAGACCCACATTTCCGCCGTGCAGCTAGAGCAGCAAAGATTCTTCAGCCGTGCGTCAGAACTAAACTCATAGAAGCATCAGAAATGAAGCCAGGGATCGGTAAACTGGATTAAAAACTTAAAACTGTGACATTCTCAGCAGTTTAAAATGTGTCAAAGTTTGTTTTTTTATTTTCGTAGAAGGAGACTTTCCTAAAGACGTGCTGGGCGGGGCAGGGTGGGGCGGGGCGGAGCGGGGTGTTAACCTGAGCGGCGGCTCAGGTTAACCCTCACTTTGATCTTTGTTTTATGTATCCTACATGTGCCGCTAGGACGTCGCCCCACCCACCCAATGACCCTGATTAAGACATAAAAATGCTTTTAATTTTTTTTTATAATTTAATTTTAAATTAACATTTAAAATATTTAAAAATGTATGTACATTTTTTTTAGATGTGCAAGATAAATAATAAATAAATTAATATTTAATGAGCATTATTCAATTATTCGTCAGATTGGTGACGTATTTCCATCCTAGGAAATACAGAGTGATAGGAGGCAGACGTTTCACGGATGATTGACAGGTCGAGCGAGGGACTTGGAAACGCATTGGAGAGAAAGAGAGAGAGAGAAATGCAGCAAGAACCGTCTTTTTCCAGGACCTGGTTTAGCTCCAAGGCTAGGCTAACTGCATGCAACGAGGCTAAGGCTTTATTCTGCTTCCCTGCCTCCTATTTCAATTCAGTTTTTTTATATAGCGCCAAATTCACAGCACATGTCATCTCAAGGCACTTTACAGTTCAACCAGATCATCCAGTCAGATTGATTCAAATGTCAGGATCTGATCCAGCGTGGATAAAGACAGCTAGGACTGATTTAAAGCACTTTGTAGAAAAGGCAAAGAAGAATAAACAATCTGGGATTCACATGGAAAATAATAGAATCTAGTCTACTTTTTCTAGATCTTTGTTAATTTGCATAGTTGCTCTTAAATAAACACATTCTTAGAAATTAAATCGTTTTTATACATTTAAAAAAAAATATAAAGCTGACTAATAGCTTCTCCATTATTAAACTATTCCATTATTTTTTTTTAGGTTAGTGACACAATATTGGACCAAAACACAGATTTACCTTCACAGTCTCAGAAGGACAAGATTTACGTATAAAAAGTAAACCTGGACATGAAATTATGTTTTATAATGGTTTTGTTTTAGTATTCATATAAATATACGGCTGTAATAACTTGGTAAACGTTTGATTGTTTTTTGGTATATGTCTATCTTGGATTTATACGTAGCAACTGGCCACTGGTATGTATAATGAAAGCTAGCTAGCTAGCAAGCTTCTTTCCTGGATGTAAACAGATGGAGGCAGTTGGAAAAAGGGGGGGTGATTATTGACCTTACTTTGTCCGTACTGGCCGTACTGGTAGGACGCCACGTGGTCCACGCTGTAGCCCGCTGAGCTGTAGGACGGGGTGCAGTAGGACTGGGAGCTGGGCAGCGAGGGCAGCGCCGACATGGACGGGACGCTGGAGAGACCCTCCAGGCCTTTGATGTGGTCCATTCGCTGGCTGCAGCTGGCGGCCATGGCGGCGGGCGACTCCAGGCCCCCGGTCAGAGGGGAGATGGCGTAGTCGCTTTGGGGCTGGTGCGGCACGCCGCCTGGGTTCAGCAGACCCATCACCTGGATGGGAGAGGAAGATCAGAAGGTGTCAGGATGACGGAGGAGCGATTAAACTATTTGTCTCTGATCCACTTCTTGTGGAAATGTTGACGCGGCTCCAGGGATGATCTGCGAGCTCGATGCGCCGGCAGAGATAAAGCAAAGGAGAGGCGTGTCTGCGTGAGCCGGGCTGAACCACAGCAGATCTGGAGGAACCCTTCAGCTCCTGACCTGGTCTTTATTAGCCTGAGATAATCAGATTTAGGGGAACGGTCCTTGGCCCACGAAGGACGGAAAACAGCCGGAGGTCAGCCGCTTCAAACAGGCCGACATCCAGCGCGGCTTATCGGATCTACCTGTCCCTCATTAAGCTGCTGGCCGGGCCGTTACTGGGGGGACTGGGACCCAACCTGCTGCTCCAAATGTAAAATCTCCCACCTTGTCCTGACGGAGCAAAGGCCTCCAGGCTGACCTAATGAGAAGCAGCTACACGCCGACACGTCGCTCCACATCCACACACACACATGGTCCTGCTTAAATCATTTCCCTGCTGGGGAGGCGAGTCCATGTTGATGGAGGAACGTTTTCTGCTCTGAAACCAAAACCTTGTAAACTTAAAACCAGGGTTTGGCTTTAATATGAGAAACTGAACGAGACGATCGACCGGCAGGAGCAGCATTATAGCCTTAGAACAGCTTTGGTAGATTTCAGGAACTTTACAGAAGCAGTATTATTATTTGTTCTTGTTTGAATGTAAATCATATTCTACACTCAGGGTGTTACCGGAGCGCCGCCGTCGCCTGGATATAAATTGACAGGATATAAAAGATAAATCAGACTATGACTTAGAAACGACGCTGTCAAGGAACGCTATGGACAGAGGAAACATGCAAGAGGAGGAGAGTTTAGTGTCGGAGGTCGTGGGTGAGTCTCCTCCGTCATCCAACACAAATTTTGAGGCAGGATTTTCTAAAAAATTTAAATTTTCTACATTTTGGGACAATATGGTCTGATAAAGAATACATTTATTTACATGTTTAAGCCAGAATGATTTGACATTTAAATATGATTTCCCTACGACTTTAACTTTTGCTGCTGGACGCGCCACATTAACCAATCAGAGAGAAGCTCCGCCACGTTACGTTGCTGTGTTTTCAGACGGGAGGGAAAGACAGAGAAAACCCGGGAATTCTTCAACAATGGAAAAGAAATTCATCACCGCTGTTTGCTCTCCTCCGGTTGTTTACGACCAATCATGTTATCAGTATAGAGACAGGAGCAGAAAGGACTTTACCTGGGGGAGGATTAGCGAGGAAATCTGACTCTATGCTAAGTTATTTAGGCTTTTACGATCTACTGCTAATGTCACGCTGCTCAATAAATGTGTTTATTCAGAGACTGCGTGCAGGAAGAGGTGGAAGGATAGACCCAAATTTTCCAACGCGCAGCTAGAGCAGCAAATATGCTTCAGTCGTGCATCAGAACTAAACTTGTACAAGCATAAAAAACGTAGCAGAACGCGCGTTTTTGCGGTCTGAACGTAGCATAGCCTTAATGCTAACAATGGCGGATGAGATACCAAATCCAGAGGTCAGTGGATTTAATATGACTCTGATTCCAGGATCAACTTCTGGTGTGATTATTGACGGTAAAAATGGCGGCGGACTGACCTGGATGACTTCCCCCCTTTATCGACGTGACAAACTGGTCAGCTGACCTTTAAAAGTAGGACATGACCGAGCAGTTTCTGTGGCTTTCCATGACTCCCCCAAATAGTCAATATAATTATTATGTTTTACCTAATTTATATAGATATATTACTTAAAATACACAAAAACCCAATGAAACAAATGAGCTGATTTGAATTCAGTCCTCAGGTGAAGATTGGAGAGCGATGGGAAAAAATGGACGCTCTCTAGAAGCGGCGCACTGATATCTGGCCGATCCAGATTGTTTTATAATTAAAAGAAACTTTCTTCCTGAAAAACATAAAACTATTACCTAAACAATAAAAACCTAAATATAAATCAAAGTTTAGAGCACAGACAGTTAGGGATTTTCACATGTTCACCAACGTAGAGAAGATCTGCTTTATCAGATCGGTTTCGTTCGCCGATCTTCCAAATTTATGGTGATGGAGGCCGATTGATCGTCCACCTGATCGGTCGGCTGATAAACCTACTTTCTATGATCCAAAATAAACTTTGCAGATGCTTTAGATATGAATGGAGCTTCGTTAAAATCAGATATCTGTCTGGTTGTTCAGGATCTCATTCTGTTTAAAGGAAAAGTCGCTCATATTCAGAATTCAAACTTCTGAAAGTTCTTTAAATCTGAAATGATTCCATCCTGTTCAATAAATGATCAGTGTTTTTAATTCAGAGTAATTTTCATGTGAATGTGCTTTACTGGAGGCATCCATGTTTGTCAAAGAACACTACTGCCACCTACTGGTTAGTGACATTGTCACGGTGCGGTATCGGCTGTTGATCAAGTCCCAGTGCTGTATCTGGTGTTTGTCACAACGCGCTATTATCCAAGTCATCTTGAAAACATTCTTCTTCCAAATGTTGGCTACATATTACGGGTTTTTTCTCTGGCCAGAAGTTCGATGGCAAATCCTCCCTCTTCAAGTTGGCGATCCAACGACCAACCCGTCCGTGGAGGATCAGGAATCAGAAAGGTGGAATAACTCTTTTCTTTTTCACTTTTACCCGATGTATTCCAGCATCCAGCTGCCATGCACGTGGGCATTGTCAGTTTCACTATAGCTCTGGTGAATTTCAATGGTGAAGTCCTCTGGAAATCTTCAATAATTGTTGTTGATTGCAGATGTGTCTAGTAGTTCCCATTGATTTAGCTTGGAAAGCGGGGAGAATGGCGCTAGGCTTACCGCACCGTGACGTCACTGCTGGAAGATGGCAGGAGGGAGGGGCTACTATATTTGGGCAAAAATGGCCGCTCCCAGATTCAGTGATCGCACCGAAATTTATTATTTTTATTTTTTCACTGATTAACACTAAATTCATTAAATCCCTGCAAATGTATTAGTTTTTGATCGATGTCTTTGATGTTTTCTTTAACTTCTGGTTTTATTGCTATTTTGTTGTGTTTTCTGGATATATTTGAGTTCTTAGGCTTTTCTTTGTTGCCCTCTTGTGTTGGTCTCCCTAGCTCCCTTCTAGAATCCTCTGTTCACATCTGCTCCAGATCGGCTCCTTAGTCCTGTCTTTGTTCAGTCTGCCATATATACTCTCCCTGTCAGGTTGAGTGGAGGTTTTAGGACCCAAATGCAGAGGCAGAGGTGAGTTCTTGTAGTTTTAATGTTCAATGTTTAAAGGTAACTGAGGCAGGAATCCAAAAATCCAACTTAAAAATGTAAAACAAACCAGAACCAAGGAGACATCAGGGAAAACGAGCACAAGGAGCCGTGGAAAGACGAGGAACCAGCACTGAGGAACTGCACAGGGACAGTTTATATGGGAGACAAAGACTGGACTAATGAGCCGATTGGGAGCAGGTGTGAAGAGAGGGTTCTAGAAGGGAGCGAGGGAAAAGGAGAACAACACAAGAGGGCAACAAAGACAAGCCTAAGAACTCAAATATATCCAGAAAACTTAACAAAATAAGAATTAAACCACTAAAACTAGAAAAAATGGAGCAAAGTAAAACTGAATACTCAAAAGAACCAAGACTGTGACCCCCCCCCTGTGCAGTTCCTCAGTGCTGGTTCCTCGTTTTTTTCCTGGTTGTTCATGCATGTGTTCCCTTATGTCTCCAAGGTTCTGCTTTTTCTGTATTTGTCATGTTGGATTTTTGGATTCCTTCCTCAGTTGCCTCTGAGTACTTTTATTAAATCTACAAGAACTAATTTCTGCCATAGATGATGATTCATTGATTAATTGTTGCTGACCGGACTTTTCCTTTAAAACGGCTGAGGACATGTGTTGTATGGGGGGTGTTAATATTTTTCTGAGGCCGAGGTTATTTTCTGAAGACAACCAGGAGTAAAACACAGTGTTCTGGTCCTGCTGGTGCCTGATCATAAATAAATCCATGGTCTGTAGCGGAGCCACGCTGTGTCCAACATGTTGGAGAAACTCTTAACTGATCCCCGAATGTTACGGAGATGATGGATTAAACGTCTGACCCTGCAGCTGTGACGGTCGGCCTCGGCGTCGGACCGAAATTTCATTTTCTGCTTGTTAGGGCCCCGGCCCCCTCTCCTGCAGGGACCTGGGCTCTTCGCGGCCGGATAATTGGCTGTAATTGTCTTTTCGCTTCTCATTTGTCACATGATGATTTGTCCTTCAGCCGCTGGAGTCATCACACATTCCTCCTCCGCAGGGAGCCCAGATCAGCTCCTGTTCTGCTGCCGAAGGCCAACATTTCCAAGAAGCTCACACGCGAATTTCCTCACCTGTGAGGAGAGCCCATTTCCTATCGCAGAGTTCATGGGATTCGTCGGCCCCCCTGGGCTCACAAAGCCGTCCGAGTAGCCTGAGAAGGAGTGGCGTCCGGAGGCGAGGCAGTAGGCGGAGCCTCCGTCTCCTTGCCCTGCGCCTCCAGAGGCCTGATGGCCTGAGGACGGAGGCAGAGGCTGGGGGCGGTGCAGCGTGCTCGGCGGCTCCGACACTAAAAGACAGGAAGGAATAAACTTAAAACAATAATCTTTTGAATTAAAGCAGATCAAATCTGAAAACCTCAGAAGCAAATAAAGCTGAAGCCATGAGATGAAATCTGCCCAGACAGCCGCAGGGTCTGAGATCATCCAGGTGTCTGCAAGCAGCCTAAAGGATATTAAAAAGGAGAGGCTCTCCCCAGCTGTGCTGCTGTCTGATGGCGCCGCGCGGCAGAACCGACCTGAGGGACATTCCTTTGGTCTCTGAGACGCTGACAGACGCACAGCCAGCTGGAGCCTCTGAGACCATGAAGATGTTGCTGCTTAGCGGCTGGCTAAGCTGAATTAAAGCAATGTTTGATTTCCAACCATGTTTGAGCAAATAAAACACGTTTATGAAAATCTACCACAGAACAGTAGTTGGTTTTAAACAGCAAAGGTGTGATCTTTTGCTTTTGTCCGCTTTAAAAAAAAAAAAAAATACGTTATTAGGTAGTTTTAGGCGACGCGGATCTTATTATTCTGTTCTTGCATTCGCACAATAGATCGGGTAGTGACTTAAAGACCGTTTCTCAATTCAATAGAACGCGAGTACGAACTCGTGTTCTCGCCAAGTCTGTTTTTGAGAAGAACGCCAGAAAGTGTGGACCAGAAGCGTACTGATGACATCACCACTCGCTCGGCTCATCTGGAGCTGCATTTCACCTCCTGTTATTAATAGTCTCTAGATAATGATTCTGACTTTTTTCATTTAGTGGAGGAATAATAATAAACACAGTCAGATAAACACAAATTATATGAACATTTTGCCAAATAAAACAAAAAAACCTCCATCAGACCTGGCGGTACTTGTCACACGGCTATGCAGAGAGAGGGCTGCTGCAGACGGGCTAACGTTAGCCCTGGCTGCTGCAGGAGGACTAACGTTAGCCCTGGCTGCTGCAGAAGGACTAACGTTAGCCCTGGCTGCTGCAGAAGGACTAACGTTAGCCCTGGCTGCTGCAGACGGACTAAGGTTAGCCCTGGCTGCTGCAGACGGACTAACGTTAGCCCTCAGCTAGGGCTGAGGCTGATGACGTTGCACGAGGACACAAGAACGCACAAGAACACAGATTGAGAAATGGCACCAGAGTTTAGATTCACTAACAGAACCACTGGAAGTTTATTACTTTTGTTGCAAATTCCAGCGAGGCTCTGCTTCAGAATAAAAAGAGACACACTCTAGTGGATGGGGGGAACATGACAAAACCTGAATGAGGACGTTTCAATTGAAACTAATTTGAATCTGATCAACTATTAAATAACAATGAAGTGAATTGTTAGTTTATAATCTCTGCTTTGAGCTTGAATTATTTTTAGTCAAAGTGATGAAGGACTGTTGTAGTGAGTCTAAAGAACCAATTGCAAACCCCTGAGCTTAATCCGTTCCAATGAAAGGCTTTAGAGCAAAGCAGAGCCACTGGTGTTCTGTCAGACCAGCATACCCATAGTCAATACCTGTTTATCACTTTAATTTATCTCTTTAGTCATGTACTAAAAAACTATTTAATTATTTACTTTTTGGTGTTTTTTTAAGCGTATGGTGATCTCACCTTAAATAGTTTGTTTTTGGTACATGACTTAAGTCTATTTTTCATACAAATCTAAAGGAATAAATGCAAATCTGACGTGTTGCGCATGCGTATGATGGCCTGACAGGGGAATGCTGATCTGACAGAACACCAGATTGAAAGCTAATCTCCAAGTTTTGGTGGATTTATTGTCTCTGCTTCAGGCTCTGTGTGCTTCTCTGCGCTTCCATAGATTCATGGAAACCTTGTGCGACGGATAGAAAGTCATCAGCACCTTGTGCTATGGAGGACGGGGAGTAGGCGCTGTCAGAGAGCTGGTACGGCGGGATGCTGGACATGGCCGTGGGGGGGAATCCGCCTGGGATCAGGTGATTAAACGCCATCAGTTGATTGGCTCCAGCTTGCTTCCTCCACCTCGCTCTCCTGTTGCTGAACCACACCTGAAAGGAAAGGCAGTTAGTTCAGTTATTAGTTGCCATGGTTACAGATAACCTCCTGATGTCATTCAAACTTGTTGTGAAGGAACAAACATATTTACACACAGAGAGTCCATGTGAACATCAATCCTGATTATGCTTATTTTTCCTGTACGTTTTTTGGATTTTGGATCAGGGGGTTCCCAAAGTCTGGGGCGGGACCCTCTGAGGGTCACAAGATGGTTTTTAGAATTATTGTGATGTGATCCCGAATTTCAAAAAAAAGTTAGAGAAAATGCAAAAAAAAAAAGCAACTTTGCAAAATGTTCTACAGATGGCCGCTCACACTGAGCCTGGTTCTACTGGAGGTTTCTTCCTGTTCAAAGGGAGTTTTTCCTCTCCACTGTCGCTACAAGCATGCTTAGTGTGAGGGATTGCTGAAGAGTCAATGAGTCGATGCAATCAGCTGGTTTTCCTTAGATGGAAAACTTTGAATCAATCTGACTGGATGATCTGGTGAACTGGAAAGTTACCTGGGATGACATGATGTGAATTGGAGCTATAGAAATACACTGAAATTAAAATTTATTAAAAATATTCTAGAATAACTCTGATGTTTTGTCCATTTTCTTTTAGATTTTATTTTCTTATTTTATTTATTTTTGTTTTCTTATTATATTTTCATTCAGGTTTTTCTTTTACAGATTTTACTTTTTCACAGTTTAGTTTTTTTATATATATTTTTCAGAATTGTTTTTCAGATAATACATTTTTTTCTGTTTTCAGAGAAGTTACACGGATTGCGTTGTTTCAAACTGCGTTTTTCGGGTTCGCATTCTCTTCACTTCTGGAGGAGGAAAAGATGCATTTCTATTGGTCTGCTGGACGTTAGACACATTTTTATTGGTCAAGAACGACTGCTTGGGTCGGACTTAAAGGGAAGATAATATGATTCATAAAACCTTATTTAATTAACAAAACAACATTTTTTAAAAAGTTGAAAACAAAATGTAAATAAAACAATTATGTAAATGAAAAAATTGAAGGTAAAAATATTTAAAAAATGATATAAATAATAAAAGTTTAATCAATAAAATGTGAAAAACAGATTTACAAAAAAATAATATATTGAAAAAACAAAATCTTAAAAAAAACTGAAAAGTTACTCAAAATATTTTTTTTGATGAAAACATTCTTCAAAATTTAATTTGAATTTGTAAAAAAAATAAAATTAATTCACAAAAGATTTTCTTTGATGCAATAATGGCAAAAATTCACCCCATACCCCTTTAAATTAATATTAAAAAACACTAATTAAATTGAGTTAAATAATAAAATTAATAATTAAACTTTCAAACTGGCTCAAAATGAGTATAAATGCTTCACATGTATAAATAAATACAGAGGGAAGTAATTAGGTCTGATTTGTTGTGTTTTTGGGGACACTGGCTGATTGGGGCCCTGGGACGGCGGGACAAGAGGAGACGGTCGTCCTTAAATGTGGACAGAGTAAATGAAGCTGCGTCTCTGGATGTGTTTGCAGATTAATTTCCATTGTTTTAGATGTGACAGGAATGGCCCCCACCTGCACCCTGGCTTCGGTGAGCTTGGCCCTCTGAGCCAGCTCCTCCCTGGTGTAGATGTCCGGGTAGTGGGTCCTTTCAAAGGCCCTCTCCAGCTCCTCCAGCTGCTCGGCTGTGAAGGTGGTCCGACTGCGCCGCTGTTTCCTCTTCAGGGGCAGATCGGGCTCCGACTCCACGTCCGAACCGTCATCCGAGTGACTCGCTGTTCAGGACAAGAAAACCAGGGATTATTTTCCAGATATCAGAGGAGGAGGAAGTTAAAACCAAGCCTAACTGACATAAAGTCTATTTGAATCAAACTGTCCTTTTCCTGCAGTAAGTTGAAAATAACTTGATGCAGGAAGATGAATCCACAGCTCTGATGAGCCTTAAGGACAAAATATATTCCAGCCTCACTGATAATCCCACTGAACAGGATTATATCAACATGTCAGGAAGGTTAGTGGGAAGGAAACCATAGAGCTAGATCCTGTAGATGTAATCTGCTTTAAATGCTGAGTAGATGGATGGATGGATGGATGGATGGATGGATGGATGGATGGATGGATGAACAGATGGATGGATGATGGATCTTTCCATAATGCGATGCCTCAAAATTAAAACTAAAATGAAATTTTAAACTTTGCCAGACTGATGATAAATTCTTTAGTTTATTAATCTGAATAATTTTAAAAGTAAACATTTCACAATGTGACTAAAGTAACATAATTAGACTTTAACCCTTTGAATTAAAATAATTGAGTATTTTTTTCTTGTTTTAGATGTAAAATCTCATCGCTGCGAGTGAAGCAGGTTCCTGCTCAGCAGGTTATTATTGAGTTTAATCAGATTATTTTCCCATAAGGCTGTGATCTAATGTTTTATTTCTTTTCTTTAGATCTATATTAACTCCTATTTAAACTAAATAAATGTGCATCGGCCTCCTGCTCCGGGCGCCGCGGCCACAGCGCCCACTTTTTGTGTTACACTTAATTAATTCCCCCTCAGCACAGAGGAAGTTTTGTGTGCAACACTGTATTAGTTCCCCCCTCGGAAGCAACAATCAAATACAAGGGAGTCCAAATAGCTCGGGGCCCCTCATGTGAAACTGATCCTCTCCTCCCTTTCAGCCATTTTCTCCTCCCAACGCTCAAAGCCGTGGGAGTCAACTTAACTTGCATTAGGAGCAAATTGGTAAAGAGAGGTGGAAGCGTGAGCAGCCAATAAGTAAAATGATTTGAGGAGGGGGGGGGTCGATTGAGACGTGGTTCGGGGCTCCTGCTTCAACAGGAAGCGGAGCGGCTCGTCCAACAGGTGCAGACGGCTGCGGCGGTTTGGGGTTTCAGCTCCGCGGGATCAGCTGTTCCTGGACCGTCTTCAGATGTGGTCGTCACAGAGCGCCTGGAAAACCCTCTGATTGGGGGGGGGGTTCAGGGTGTGGAGTTTTGGACGACTGGAAAACAAGAGATGAGACCTTTTGTAGCCCCCCCCCCCCACCAATGAGGAATGTCCACCCTGGCCCTCTCCTCCCCCCAGTCCCCCCCAGCATGCACGTTCCTCAGCATTTCACAGGGATTTGTGCGTTGGGAAAAGCGGAGGGAAAATCCTTAATCACTTTGGAATTAGCGGCGGGTTCTGGCGTTCTGCTGCCGGCCCCCACCGCCCTACCGGCGCTTCGGGAACCTTTGAAAGGAAGCGACAGAGCGGCACCTCTGGAGACCAGAGCAGATAAAGTCTTTTCCCGAGCCGCCTGAGTCTGGACTCAGCTAACAAACACTTGATGTGCTTTTGGCGCTGGAGCGCGGCCCTCCTTAAACAACCTCCCCCCAGCCTGTCTTTGTGCCCCCCCCCATATTTCTCTCCCGGCTCTTTGTTGCTCCACAGAGCTCAGGTCTTTGCCGGCGATTTCCACGCTCCATCTGGGGAATCCGTCATGGCTCCCTCAGCCTTCACAGTGGAGGCCTGTCACCTGCCCCATGGGGGAGCTTGAGGGAAGGGGGGGCATACAGATGATCCGCAAAGAGGGCTTGGGGAAAGGGGCGGGGAAGATGGGGGCATAGCTGTGGGGCACTGAACCACCCCCCCACCCACTGCTCTCTGAAAGCTGGGACTGTAAGAGCACCTGGGGGGTAAAATGCCCCCGTGAGGACAGACCATCAGGGCATCTGTGCCCCCCCCCCAGCATTTAGATACTGAGAAGCTAAACTGTCTTTAAAACTGTTGAATATTTACAGTCAGTAAGAATCAGTTTAAAGTGTTTAACTATTTGCTCCAGTTGGATAAACGGAGATCGATGGATTTCACTCAGTTTATCTCTGCAAAGAGAAAACGGTTCATCATACGGTAATCAGCCCTGTTCTGCCTGAGCAGCGTTCGTTCCCCCTTCCTTATAATAATGGAAAGTAGTCAGAGTTAAAATAAATTACAGATACTTTGGTTAAACTGTAACATGTTATGAATAAACCTTGAGAAAGAATGTGGTTTGTTATGGGAAGAAGGTAGGTCTGGTCTACAAACACCATCACTCAGGCATTGTTTGGCCTTACAGGTGGAACCAGCTGAGTGAAAACTTTTAAAGTGAGTAAAAAGCTCAATTAATATATGAGATAAAAGGAACAAAGGTTTCCGACCACACTCTCCAGAAGTCCTTCCTTCTCACCTTTAGAAGTTTGTTTTTAGGGATTTTCTTGATGTTGTTTAGGTACAGCTGCCTTCGCTTTGAGCTACACACGCAAAACCGTAAAAAAATAACAGTCCAGAAACAACAAAAAAAAAATCACTTTTTTTAAAAGCCCTCAGTCCCAAAAAGTATTTAAAAAAAAACAAAACAAAAAAATCAATCCTCTGGACTTTGTTTCCAAGTTTGAAGACGTTTCTCTTCCATCCAGGAAGCTTTTTAAATCCAAAATGTCAGAAATAGCGTTTAGTTCCAGGTTTTATCCAGCAGCCCAACAAAGCCTGGTTTTAGTTTAGAAAACATGCAGATAGAAACGGAGGAATTGAACGAGGGAACTCCAGTCCAATCAGAACAAATGTAAAAAAAAATCTTATTTCCATCACAAAAAACCATGTTTCAAATCCACATTTTACACTATAAGCAGATGAAGCGACACGTCTCTCAACATGGACGTGGTTTTAAAAACAGCATACGTAGAAATAAAAGCAAAAAAATGACCAAAGGACTCGTTTTGCTCCGACTGGATGGATGGAGAACATCTGGGTTCAAGTTTTCTCATTGGATCTCAGATTTGATTAAATCAAATCCAGATTTTCAGCCATCCAAACATGAACATTTATCTGAAGAAAAACAACGAAATCTGAAATTTATAATCTGATTAATAGCAAATCATCAGTTAAGGGGGAAAAAGAGAGTTTTATTTGGAAAATTGGGATTTTTACATTTACCTTCAGGTACGGGACGACTATTTAAAAGAGATAAGCCCAGTTCCTCACGCGGTGAATTTTTAAAAAATTACACAAATATTAAGAAATACATATAAAAGAAAGTGGTAAAATGTAGGGGTGAGTTCTGGCATGGGTGTTGCGATACGATACTTGGGTCACGATACGTCATTATCACAATACTACAATATCACTATATATTGCGATATTTTTCCCTGCTGTCAAAATTAAATTTCTAGATAAAAAGAGAGTAATGTATACGTTCATCTGAAGATATTGATCATTTACTTTTTTTAGTGTTCATGTTGTTTGAGGTTTTAGTCAGTCCACGTCGTCTACTGTGACTGCAGAGGTAGCCCGTTTTCCCCCATTTAGGTAAAACTGTTTTTGTTTTTAAATAATTGATACTAGGAAGTGAATGATTGATATTATATCGGCAGCCAAAAATCAAAATATATCGCCAAAACCATTATTTCCCACACCCCTAGCAACACCCTATTGAGGATAAATAATGCAAAGGAAAACCTGAATATTAGGGACAAATGTGTGAAGCAACTATAGGAGGACAAACGTGATGACATGTGGAACACTATCTGTAAAAAGCAGGTTAATGCTGCTAGTTACTACAACAATTGGAAGAACAATACTGACATTTAGTCATTTAAAGGAAAAGTCGCTCACATTCAGAATCCAAACTTCTGAAAGTTCTTTAAATCTGAAATGATTCCATCCTGTTCAATAATTGATCCGTGTTTTTAATTCAGAGTAATTTTCATGTGAATGTGCTTTACTGGAGGCATCCATGTTTGTCAAAGAACACTACTGCCACCTACTGGTTAGTGACACTGTCACGGTGCGGTAAGCCTAGCGCCATTCTCCCCGCTTTCCAAGCTAAATCAATGGG